TTGTGTGTGTGTGTGTGTCTCCAGATGGATTAATTAGAGGTCCTCCGAAACCGAGAGTTTTGCGCCACAGCAGGCACTTGTCAAGGGCCTTGGGGAGGCAATCAATGACAGCCTTGCACACCAAGCCCGCTCAGGCATGAGGCCTTTAATTATCAGCAGAACATGACCAGCGATCATCACCTCCTCCGGCCTGTGCTTCCTGAAGACTAATCAGGGGCCCTCAGCCAATGGCTGAAAGCTAAGCTTAGCCCTTGGATTTGAAGACAGCCCAACACTGTTAAGCCTTCCATTTTATTTTCCCTGATACATGTTGGCTCAAAGCTCAGGTTTCACAGCTTGTGAGGCGTCACCGACATAATGCAGTGTGCTAATTCACCTTGGCCCGAATATCCATCATTACAAAGGCTTTGATAAGGAATCACAGCTATTTTCACGTTCCTTGTAGACTGTTTGCTAGTGTATACTTATTTTTCAGCAAACATTAATATGCAAAGGGATCCCCCAGTTGTACCTGTTGTATTAGAAGCCGATCTTTTATGACAATCATTCTTGGCCTCTCCCACCCCTATATATTTAGACCAGTGTTTCTCAACCTTAGCAACTTTAAGATGTCTGGACCAACTCCCAGAATTCCCCAGCCAGGCTGGGCATCAGGGAAATTGAGCCAGCTGTCCTGATTCCAATTCAAATATTTTAAGGGTATGATGGACAGGCCACATCTAAGCCTCTTCTTAATACAATCCATCCAAAATGTGACGGAATAATTTTATGTACTAATTTATTTGTGCATACTGTTAGTTATCAGAATGAGCATATTCTCGCCAAAAGACTTCTTGGAGTGATTGGTATACAAAATGAACCCTACTAACCAGGATATAAAATGGACATAGAACCACCTTACAGGGTCTGATTCCACTAATGGTTCCATGCTATGGCCATGTAAACTGTCTAGGAAGGGTCTTAAGCCTCCAGTAAAGTTCTTCCTAACTCTGACATTCAGAATCCTTCACTGAAAACACTAGAAATCCAAGATACTAGAAGTCTTTTTTATGTACCTTTTACAGGTCAGAGGCTTCAGTAAAGAGGGAGCAGGCAGCAGGTTCACCCTTGTTTAGAAAGCGAGATCAAGTCTTTGGCATGCGAATAATCACTAATTACGCTCCCACACTTTGCTGAAAAGCAGCATCTTTCAGAATGCCTCCTCTCAGAGCTATTTCGGAGGATCACTATGGTTCTCCTTGGAGGAAAAGAATTAAGTACATCTCCAAGGAGTTGTGAGAAGAGGCTGAGAGATCCTTCACTGGAAAAATCAATAGCCCAGAGACATTCAAAGCTCCCCTTAGCTAACTGGTCCAAGTTTCCACCCTCCTGGCTGGTTACCTGGGTCATCTTGTCCACAGAGACCGGAATCCCATCGATGGTGAGTGGTGGCAGCTCGGAGTTAACCTCCTGCGGCGCAGGTGCGTGCTCCAAGAGCGCTGACTCCAAGTCTTCCAGGATCATACTCTTGTACTTGCGCACCTGTGGGGAATCAAAGAGGTTCAGGTAAACAAGGCAAAGAGCAGCAAGAGAGAAGAGGATGCTAAGTAACGGGGGGTGGGGAACGCATTCTCGCTCCTTGTGGTGCGGTGCAGCAGAGCAAGCAAACAACGCCACAGCTGCCAGAGAAAAATACCCCTTGGCCCCAAAGCCCCAACGGATGGGAGGTGCATGCGAGTGAGATGATGAAACTGCAAGCAACACCAGCAAGTGGGCTGTTGCATGGATTGCCAGAGAAGTTTGTAGGCAGGGCAGGGCCTCCAATGAAGGGGTGCTGGGGCCAGTTCTTTGTGGGGCTCTCAACCAGACTTTCCCACCCTGGTGCTTTCCAGATGGCTTGGAGATCATCTCCCACTGTCCCCAGTTGGTCTTGTTGTTGTTCAGTCGTTAAGTCGTGTCCGACTCTTCGTGACCCCATGAACCATATCAC